TCTATGGCACCGCCGAGAGATAAGTGTATACTGTTGCAGTTCGGCCAGTTATGCTATTCAGAACAACCAATGGAACACAAAATAAAGATAGACTGTCGGTGTTCGAACACCGCCATCTACGCCGCATCTTTTTTCTTTTTCATTTCTACTTCCTATTATTGAACACACAATAATACAATTTTCAGGAAGGGGGAAGTGGCCAATCAAAGGACTGCCACGAGTCTTGTGGAACAACCGCTCGAGCAATGCTGAGGTCAGAAGCAGAGTTTCAGGTAACCGCGGTCACCTACTGGAGCAAGTGGTTAATCTCCATAGATTGCCGTGATTAGAGCATGTTTTGCGTATCGCCAAATAGATTGCCACGACACGCACTGTTTGCCGAGGCAGATGGATGAAAAAACTAAAGGGTGATCAAATTAGGCATGAGATTACGGAAACCCTCACCATAAAACTCGGTCATGTAGGTCGCGTTAGGCTCCCTGAATGAGGAACTCGGGATCAGTGTAATCGATCGTTAGAGACACTGAGTATTTCTTTGCAGCCTTGGTGCACTGAAATTCTCCATTTTGTGTTCTGTTCTTTTCAACTTGCCTGTTGTTCTCTTACTGCTTCATCTAATTGCGCAGGTAAAAAACGACAGCTGAAGCCGCCGCACGAAAGTGCACGGTTGATGGTTGTGCAAACTGAAACTGAAAGCAAGCCATCACACCAAGTCGTTGTGCAGACTCTTTGTAATGCAGTACCTCTAAAACCGTTTTCTCATACGTTGTAAATTAATCTTGTGGTTGGGCCAATCTTTTTGATATGATCTATTTTTCATATATTCATAGTTTTTCGGCTGCAGTTAAGTGTTTGTCTCCTGTAATTTTGCTTATTGAACCTTACCAGAAATGAGGCGAATCCTTCTGACCAAATTTGCGTTGGGACTGAAGTATGTCTGGTTAGTTTCGTGCGTGATCCACCTTGGACTTGTATCAGTTAGAAACAGCACTTTTGGTAATGTAAACAAGGACTGATACGGTGGAGAATTTTTTTATGGATTGACTAATTGAGGGTACCATTTCAGATCTCGTGATCTCTGTTATCTACCCAACTGTTCAGTCATGGTACAAAGCTCACGAGAATTCCTTTTGTGTATTGTGGTCGAATAACCTTTTCCTTGTTTTATATAGATGACATTCGACTAGATACGAAATCATTCTTTTGTTTGTTTATCAGCGCTCCGGAAAGTTTGTATCCCATGACGGATGGTAACTGGTCATTCCTGTCCAGTCCGCACACCTCCATTGGATCCAATTCCTCTCCAGATTCCGGTTTGTCGTTCCCATCTACACCGCCCGGTCTGCTCTCCTTGACCACCAGTCCCGTCCCAGCTAGCCGACGCATTCCGCTAAGATCTCCAATTGCCAGTGCTCCAAGTGGCAATCCTCGATCTTCCACAGCAAGTTCCCTTATTTCCCTTGTAACGAACGCTTCCTCACGTCGACTCGAACAAGATGTAAACTGCTCTGGGGACAATCACGCTGGCTTAACAGTTTCTCTGGCATTGCCCGTTGCAGTTCCAAACCGGTCCATGCAGCCGAGTGACTCTGACTCTATAATGACTGTAAAACCCGACACGGATGTTACACGTCGCAGTTCTCTGTTGAATAAGCCGGAACGATCTAAAGATAGAACTCAGTCCCCTGACCGTCGATCACACTTGCGCGGTCCTCGTCGCACACCAGCCCGTGTAATTCCTTACCCTCCTACCTCCAACACTCACCAACATACAAACCATCATCCTTCTCGGCCGTCAACCACTCGTTCCTACACAACGCGTGCCAAAACCCGCTTGCTTCATAACGGGGCTGTGAACACTCGCAAACGAGCGGCTGTTCAGCTCAAAAAATCATAATATGTTCTGTCACAGGTTTGTTATCTCTATAAACAGACTTCATTCTTCGTTTCATCTCATTCATACTATACTACCTTGTCTAATCTGGGTTTCTCCCGTACCCGACAACTGTGATTCACGTGGTCCGTATCTATCTCTTGTTAATCTCTCTTTTTCTCTATCTGTGTATATGTCATCGTTGTCTTGCTTTGTATCCTTTTCTGCGATCGTTTATCCTAGTCTTTTTCTCTTGAACATTGAACTGGAAGCCTCTGTGCAATCATCCCCTATGTTCGTCTCTCATTGTTTGTGATGTTACAACTGTCACTGCTATTGCTGCTGCTGTTACCATTCTCTCATTTTACGTCGTAAGATTCAGGATAACTCATATTCGTATAGCTCTGCCTTGTTTTTCTTTTTGTCCCTTTGTCACATTTTCCACGACGTTGTTTTTCCTCGTTTCATCCCAATTTTCAGATAGCTGTCTTTAGTCCATCTCCTCACCGAGTTCATACATCATCGTTGCTCAACTCATCCCGGATCATAATGTTACCACAATCCTGACTTGGTCGTCCATTTACAACTTATCGTGATAATCTAGACCAAACGTCTATCATAAGTTAGTCAATCTTCACCATTAAACCATAATCTTGCAACCAAAATGCATTTCTCCCAGTCCCTGCCGTTTGCTCACCCAGACAACAAATCGTGTATAAGGCCAACTTCCGGCATGTTCCCATTGGCCGTTGGTTCATCAACCTTAACATGTGTTAATGCCAATTATGGCACCTTCCGCTTCCTGTTCTCATATTGTGCAATATTCCCACTCGTGACCATTAATATTGTTCTTATTTGTTCCAGTTTAACGGCATTCGTTTGTGATTTTTGTGCTAGATGTGCTTTTTCACTCAACACGCGTCTCGGCGCGCCACATTCTGATTTTCATTTCTCTCATACATCTTGCTTCTTGTTATCGCATTGTTCGGTAATAGCCCTCCCCCCACTCCACTGGCATTACTCATTACTTCATTCTGGTCCTATTCCAAGAATCAAGAGCGAAAACTAGTTCTATATTTATTTTTCCGTCTCTGTGCGAATCTAGGTCCCTGTTTCATATGGCACATCTGGTGTCTTGCATGTCTAGTCCGTGTTTTGTGATCCACTCACTCATGGTTCGCTGTACTCCGTCCGCATCTTGTTTATCTCCTGTCAAGTCGGAAAATTGACGACCAAATGCTCTTCAATGCTGTGCTCTCCTTTTGACAAGATTTTTTTTGTTGTGCGTTCTTCTTATGCACGTCCGTGACATCATTTTTTGCATTTCCGCCGGAAACAGGTCTGTCCCCGAAGTTTCCGGTCATCATGTATTCTCGGTATGCCACCCTCCTTCCGGGCGCTGTCCGTGCACAACCAGTTTCTGTGTTCTCTCGTCTGCCGATTGTTCTTATTTAGGTTGTTCGTGACTTCGTCATGCCCTCATAGGTGGTTTGAACGATAAAAATACCGATCAAATGATCCTCCCATTCCTACCTGCTCTTGTTCGCCTCTCATACCATCCCTGTGGTCTAATACGCAGGGTTTCCCCTGAGCAAGTCTAAAGTGTATGTACGTGTGTACCGTGGATCGTTTGAGTATGTACTATCCTTATTTACAAACCTAGAACGCAGAGTACCTTTATACTGAGTCGCTTTTTCGATACCACAAGGATAGTGTGGGCCAAATTTAACAGTCTTTAATTTTGCGTTCTCCTGATCAGTCTCAGCGTTTATCATGGTTATAAAGTCGGAAAAACATTAAATTAGATTATGAAGGAGGGTGCAAGGGTGGTCGTGGTTGGTGCTGTTTCATCGTTCGCATTCCATCCACGCGTAGTTTTATTACATAGTGATTAACCAAAGGAGTAAACATACAGTCAGTGGTATACCTTGAGGGGAGGCATTCAGGTGAGAGCTAAGTTGTTAATCCCGGTTTTGAAAATGGTAGGATTATACGTGTCTGGAAACACGGAGGTGGAAGGAGTGTTCCACAGTTTCTCACTCCCGGGGAAAAAGGAGGACTAAAAGATGAAAGTCAAACATTTGGGGACAGAAAACTGATACGGGTGACTGTCCGCCTGAAAATGAGATGGACAAGAGAGGAACCGCTGGAATGAGTTTCGTGGTAGGCAGCTTTGCTGTAGTCCGGTTCAATACCACGCCTAACTTAGTGGGACCTCGTGGTTCACTACTCCAAGTCCCGGGGCTTAGGTCACCGGTTTCCATAACCGAAGAGCAGGTCCTTGTTATTATGGGACTTTCCCCCTCTGGTGTTCATTATACCTGGGGGTGTTATAAAAAATGTAGAACATAAGTCAAACTACGAACGATAACAAAGAGCTAATGAAGCAACTGCCCGGCGATGGAAACTGACTGCAGATTAGAAATTAAAAGCTTTATTGATCAGCCGGATGACCTTAAGTTGAAGTTGAACACGGTCTAGAGGAGAAAGAGCGGAATACGAAGTTCCGCCACACGTGATTACTGTATTCGAATATCGGGCGAAGATACTCGAATGTAATGAAGCTTATGACATCGAATAGAAAATCGACTACCCGCAGTACCAGAGATAAAAGGGGACCAACCGGTGAAGAATTTTTGGATAAACCCAGGAGAGAATGTGGAACAAAGGGGCAGCTGGACAAAAGTCGATTGCGGAGAGTAAGGGACATGTTTAAGAGAGGTGGAAAGGAGACATTGGTTCGTTGAACCTTATGCGGAGTTGAGTCCGAGATCGGAATCAAGAGATGCGATCATGGTCGATATTGGCAGTGGTTTAGTTTGTTTTCTTCCTTTTTGTTTATTGGTTATATAAATTTACAATAAAGCTTCAGGAAGAGAGCCGCGGTCATACAAAGACTGCCTGGGGAGATACGGATAGTCGGAATATGAGCAGGGGAGGCAGGATTCGAACTTGGGTAGACCTTATCGCGACCGTTGCCGCGTTCGAGTAAGAAAGAGAACAATGGAGAGTGGCCTCATCGGCAAGCAGTGATTATGATTCGAGGTTTTGGACAAAAGATCATACCAGCAATGGTGGAATAGCCGAGACAGGACCCCATCGATCCGGACGGAGGTGGTTCGCTTGCTGAGGACATTGCAGCCACGATACGAGAAACGAGTGGAATCCTAATGCGAGTGGTTTGGGCTGCAAACGCGGTCGGTCTTTGAAATATGCTGCGAGACCAAATGAGTTTCTTCGTGGTCATTGACTGTAGTTGGCCAGGAATATGATGACAATCACTAAGTCATTCGTGGATCCACAAGGGAGAAGTTAATATTGACGATTATTCAGCAAACCTTCGCGTTCGAGAAACGCATGCGGTTGGTCGGAGATAAAGGTTTCAAAAACTGAACATCACAGAAGCGAGAGTGATGGGACGATAGTTTTTGGGATTGGAGAATCATAGTATTTTTCCGTAGAGGGGTAAGGTTTTAGATGAAAGGATGACGTAGAACAGGGGCTTTCTCCTGGGCATGTTCTCAGGACTACTTGGAGTAACGTAGGAACCAGGTGATTTACAAACACTTAAATCACGAACAGCGGATCTTTGTGGTTGTTGAGAAGTGGAAAGCAGTGTTTGAATGTATGGGAAGAGAGGTTAAGAGTAAAGTCCGCAGATAAATTGGAGCTAGAGGCAAACCATGAAGTGAATATCCGCTTATTCGTGGGGTTCACAAACAAGAGTACCAGAGGAATTGCGAATGGGAGGGANAGAAGTTACGTAAAACCACTTTGATGAGGGACCAGTGTTCGGTTTACCAGTATCGGACGAAGTCAAGCGTTATTTGGTGAGCGACTATTTGGTTCTGGCTTGCACGAAGCGGTTACGGGATAGTGGTTTGGGTGAGTAGCGCCAAAGATTGAATGCTGGACTTTTAAAACATAGCACGGTTGCAAGCATGACTAAACCACTCAGAGGATTTGGAATGTAAAGATATGCCCTGAAGAGAAGTCTCTCTGAAGTTTGAAGGAGAAGTGCAAACGTCAGACTAAAACAGCAATCATTTCAGAGATAGCTAGTCCGAAAATCACGAAAACCGTTTGTAATTGGGTGGTGAAACGGAATTGATGTTGGAAAATGAAGAGGAAATATATGTGAAAATGAGGTCAGTGGTGTGAGCGCGGTCACCAATACGATCGGGATGCGCCAGGTTGTTAATCACAACAAAAGCCTCGGCTTTGTGTCCCATTAACGAAATGTCTGACGAGTGTATCAGCCACTGCTTTTTCTGAACACTGAAATCTCCGGCAATTGTGAGGAGATGGCTCTATTATTGTCATATTGTTTGAAAGCAGAAAACCGAAGTTTCAGTTATATAAGCCAGAATTCACGGTTGGAGAAATCGAGGTGGGAACGTCGGAATGAGGCGATAGAGTGATGAATATAGGCACAGACGCCATCATTGAGAGCAGAACAAGAATGGTGAGGGTAATTTTGGAATTGAGAATGCATTGTATCTAACGAGGAAGCGATTTGTGTTTTGGTCAGAAATGAAGCCACGAAGCAAAAGGATTGGAGAAAGTAGTGTACATAATTACCATTTTGATTCAAATCACGAATGTTGAAGAGGGAAGTCAGAGTGGTATAAGTTTGAGATAGAGTGCGCATTCGATGATTCATGGGTGGTGTGAGAGAAGACTGGCAACCCAACCCTGAGACTTGTGGTGGTGAACCACATGACGCCACAGTAGGTTGAGCGTGGTATTGAGCCGGGCTACCCACCGCGGAAAAGTATCGTACATAGCACTGATTTATCTTAGAAGCCATTGGTGGTTACTATAAAGGTGAGTACATTCGACTGTTGGTGTTCTTGAATTGTAGGGATCCGTGGTGCGTATTTTGCATATTCTGTAGTTACTTTTATACCGAAGTAATCGTGCTACACTTATCGTGAAAAAAACAATTCATAATTTGATTGCCTGTCTGATTTTTAGGGGGACTCAACTAAAAACGTCGGCTGGCCAGATACGAAGGGTATGAC